ACGAACCTCTATTTTCATTGTATTTTAGAAAAATATTTGCATCAATGTTCCAAAAAAAAAAAAGGAAATAAATAGAAAAATCCGAAAATATTTCCTAATGCTTTGATCAATTTTTCCAGAGACTTTTTCGTTAGAAGCCTGAAAATAATATAAAATTTAATTTTTGTCGGAAGATTTCAAATGATGAAATATTCTACACAAATTTTTCACTACAAATCTCAGAATTAATATACAGAGTGGATAAAAAAAACTGCAACAAAGTCAAACGCCATAATTTAAATTTTTTTTCAAATTTTATTGAATGAAAGCAAAAATGTCGGAAATATCATCAAATTTTAGAATAAGTTTAGATCTGTTCGAATTGGTCACCTTTGGCACGAATTATAGCCTTCAAACCGCCAATGAAACCGTCACACGCTGCCCATGGTATTTTGGTCCATTCCCGGCACAGCGCTTGCTTGAGGTGATTGACACTTTGATATGTTTTAGTGCCAACCTTGCTTTCCAAAATATTCCAGACACAATAGTCCAACGGATTGATATCCGGAGATTTTGGTGGCCATTGTGCGCTTTGTAACCATTTCTTGGGTGGCTCGTGCTGAGTGCGATCGTGCTGACTCCTATTGGAATGTCCAAGGTCTGCGGCCAAAATGTTAGAGTGTCAAGGCTTTAATACACCCTCCAGAAAATTTTTTCTCGATAATATTCGGCATTTATTCTAATGCCACGGTCGATTAATACGAGCGAAGAGCGACCATCGGCTGTTATTGCGGCCCACACCATCACCATGGCCAGGGCTTGAGTTCTGGTGGCCAACCGAATTTGAATTTTTTTAAACCATTTTGTTTCTTTACAAACTGATGGACAACGAATGTTTTCTCATCGGAGACGGAGAAAACCAAATTCGGCTGTTCACCGCTTTCGGCCAAGCGAGGCAACTCTTTAGCTCTTTTGAGTCTATTTTCTTTCTGTTGCGGTGTAAGTTCTTGCACTTTTTGGAATTTCAATGGCTTTACACCGAGTTCATTTTTCAATATTTGCCGAATGGTATATTGCGATATGTTCAGTTCTCGAGCCATTTTTCGGCTACTGCGACGCGGGTTCGACCAAGTCGCTTTTTTTACTTTTCGAACCATTTCTGCTGATGTTGCTGTTTTTTTCAGTTTTGCAGAAGTTGATTGCAGTTTTTTCATCTCACCCTGTATAGGATTCAAGATTTTGAAAAACAAAACGCCAAAAAAAGAGAAATAAACATCCAACTCTCTTCAAAGCTCAGACATACTATAAGCATTTACCAAAAATTCTACATTGCGGTAGGTAGTTCGGCTTTAACTCTTGCAGTGAAATTTCTTAAAAGGGCACGAATTTTGACAAAAAAAAAAAAAAAAAAAAAAAAAAAAAAAAAAAAAACAATGGTTTACAAGCGTTTTTTGTTTGTTAGACTTAGATTCATGGATACTTTTAGACCAAACTGAAGATTTTTGACAGCGAAACAATACACGAAGCCATGTTTTAGCCATTTAAACCAAAGAGATAATAGTTAAAAAATCACCCTTTATTTGTCGCACATTCTCTTCAAAATAATTGGTTAATTTTAAATTAATTGCTTACCTTTCGGACGTGTCTGTGTACTAACTCATATATAAGTACATCTGTATGTATGCTTGTATTATGCATAAATTCATGTACATTTATTATTAATAATATCTAAGTATTTGCATTGTTGTTGGCGTGTCAATTAAGTTTGTTTTACGCTTGGCAGACATTTTCGTGAATGCATAGTAATTTTGGTGAGCAGGGTGAGTGTTGGTTGGTCGGTAGGTTGGTTGGTTGTTATCCAAAACATGTGTTTATAATTATAGATTGTTAAATTAATTAAAAATTATGTTTTTAAGATATACTCAGACGACAGTGTTATGACACATTTTCATAATAAGTATATTTACTTAGCATGAGAATTTTTGTGTCTAAACCACTTATCCATTTGGAGATAATCAGGAAAAATGTCTACGTGTGTGTGTGTGTGTGTGTTGTATTCAATTAACAAGAAGCATTAGAGGGATGTCAGGATGTATATTACATGTTTATGTGCAAATTTACGAATTTTTGCGAAGTTTTTGTAGTGTGCACCAAATTTCCAATATCAGTCCAAATGACTTGAATTTTGGCACATCCCACAGGATTCAGTCTAGAAGCAAGCACATCAAATTAAGAAAGAAATCGATTCAGAAATACCTATAGCTCCCATATATATGATTCATCCGACTTGGAGTTTTAATTCCCACACATGCGTAACATGGACTCCACAAGAATGATATTTTGTACCAGATAAATTATTGAGCTCAAAAATACCTCTAACAAATGTTTATTGCTGAATTCATCCTAGAAATTAGTACATAAAATTTGGTGTAAATCGGTTCAGATAGAGCAATAGCTCCCATATATATGTATTATCCGGTTTAATTTAAAAGTCCCTTACATGTATACTGTGCACTCCACAACAAAAATAGTTGGCACTGGATATCAAATAAAGCTTAGAAATGTGTATTTACAATTTTGTCAAGATCGGTTTAGACTTGGATATAGCTCCCATACATACCTTTATCGGATTTCAGGTTTTTTTTGTGCACCAAGTGGTTAATATCAGCCCAAATAGACTGAATTTCCGACGGAACTCAGCCGAAAAGCACGTGTATCAAGTGAAAATGGTGAAAATCGGTTCAGATATAGCTTTAGCTTCATATATACAAGGTGAGATAAAAAACTGCAACAAAGTCAAACATCATAATTCTTACATTTTTTTATAATTTTATTGAATGAAAGCGAAAAATGTCGGAAATAGGATGAGATTTTAGAATAAGTTTAGATTTATTCGAATTGGTCACCTTTGGCACCAATTATGGCCTTCAAACGGCCAATGAAAACGTCACACGCTGCTCGAATGTTGATCTGTGGTATTGGGCCCGTTCCCAGCGAAGCGCTTGCTTGAGGTGATCGACACTTTGGTATTTTTTAGTGCCAACCTTGCTTTCCAAAATACTCCAAACACAATAGTCTAACGGATTGGTATCCGGAGTTTTTGATTTTGAATGAAGCGAGGAGCCTCATTTTTTACCATTCTTGGGCGGCGTGTGCTGATTGCGATGGTGCTGAGTCCTGTTGGAATGTCCAAGGTCTGTGGACAAAATGGTTGAGTGCCCAAGGCTTTAATAAACCCTCCAGAATATTTTCGCGATAATATTCGGCATTTATTCCGATGCCACGGTCGATTAATACGAGCGGAGAGCGACCATTGGCTGCCAACACCATCACCATGGCCGGTGCTTGAACTCTTTGGCAAGTAAACACGATGATATTTTTTTGTTTACAAACTGCTGGACAACGAATGTTTCCCATCGGAGGGAGAGAAAACAAAATTCGGCAGTTTACCACTTTCGGCCAAGCGAAGCAACTCTTTAGCTCTTTTGAGTCTATTTTCTTTCTGTTGCAGTGAATTTCTTGCACTTTTTGGAATTTCAATGGCTGTACTCCGAGCTAATTTTTCAATATTTGCCGAACGGAAAATTGCGATATGTTCAGCTCACGAGCCATTTTTCGGCCACTGCGGCGCGGTTTTCGACAATGGGCCATGTCTCTCCTGCTCCTATACAATGGTATCTCTTAATATTTGAAATTGATTCACACTTCGTGTTTAAAGTTCGTAATGGATACTTCAACCTACGACAAAAAATTGTCTTGCAGATCTTAGTCTTCGTATACTCCACATATAGCGGTATTTTAATGATATTAGTGACATTATTGAATGTAATTGTTTTAAATTTCGCGTAGTTTTAGGTTCTTGTTTACTTGTAATACCCTACAACACTAGGTGTTGGGGGTATTATAAGTTTAATTAGGCCAAAAATTATGTAAGACCTCGAAATATAGGTTTCCCACATATGGATCTTCCTATCTCACCGAGCTGAGTCGATCTAGCTATGTATGTCCGTCCGTCCGTCTCTCCATTTTAATTTGTACTCACTCTACAGGTCTCAATTATGGCCGGCTCTTCACGAAATTTAGAATGGAGGTGGGGCTAGGGCCAGAGTAGAATCCTATTGCATTTGGAGATGATCGCTTGAAGCTCAGCGGTTGAAATGGACCAAGAACTGAAAACTGTCCTAATTTTACAGTTGCTCTACAGGTCGCAATTATAGACCAATCGAAGCGAAAGTTAGCATGGGGCTAGAGCTTAGGACTGGACTGAAGCCTTCCAATTTTGATGGTCATCGGGTCATATTTAGTGGGTGTGTTAAATAAAATTCAAATTTTCCATTAAACCGCGAATATTTTTAATCCCGGTGAAATCACAAATAGATGAACAGGTCAGTTCTGACCGTTACATAGCTGCCGATAATAATTATATCCGATATTTATGGCGAAATATACCAATCGACACGGAATTTTGCAGGAGAAGAGAGTTAAGGACAGGGAAGAAGTCTAGCATTTTGAATGACAATTAGATTATATTTAGTTGTAAAATGGATCACAACAACTACTAGCGTGATGGAGTGCGCAAATATTGGGCAAATGTCCTTCGCCAAAAAGATAAGGGTAATATTTTGGCAGTTTTCTATGACATAATATCAAAAACAAAATCTTCCAAAATAAATTAGACATAGGGGGCTTCAAAAATATTTCCAACATTGCAATTCATTTATTTCAGAACAAAGAGTATATATTTTATTTAAAATCCCCAATGGCTTATTAAAATCCATTTTCCACATATGAAATTTCATATTCGCTTTCGATTAGTATCATTTGATCATTGATTTTAATTTTTTTTTCGTCTTTAGCCAGCACACAAAATCTTGCATACATATATCGTATACGTATATATTGTCCATCTAAACTTTTTTCCATATTCACTTCTTCTTCTTTAATTTAAATTCTACATAATTAAAAAAGAAATATTTATTTACGTCACACGAATAATAATTTGAATCTCTCTTTAATTTCAGAAATTCACAACATTCTCAACTGTCACATTAAGTCTTTTCGTGGGACTAGTCATTTTAAGTGAGTATTTTATATAATGAATGCAAAAATTATAATACTAAAGTTCTCCAATATTTTAAGCTAGACCAGTTGATTACTTCAACTTTTTGGAAATAGGCGGAGAATATTGCTTCAAATTTCTGTATTGGCCTTATGTAGCCAAAAATGTCCTAAGAGGAAAAGGGGATCATGTTGGTTTGAGGTTGTACAAAAAAACATTCAAATGTTATTAAATACTGTACTACCTAGTTTAAAATACACAATAAGGATATCAATCCGCATTTTGGTGTAGCCCACATTTAAAGTCTCGATTTATTATTGTTAACCATTTTAATTGCCACTATAGCTTATAATTTCATTGATAGAAATATGGAGGAATACATAAAACCAATTCAGATCTTAATTGTTTAAAATATTGTCTTACACATATTACTGCGTATATCTGTATATCTTCTACTAAGATTACTGATTATAACATTTAAGCTTCGACAAATGTGATCCAAAATGGCCCAAGTCATAAATAATTAACGTTTGTAAAATTCCTCTCTCATAATAAGTTTCTTTTTTTATACAAGTTGACGCAAAAGTAATCCTCCTATTAGAAAATGCTATAAAATTTACGATTGACCCCTAATGTCTTAATTACATTGGATGTTAACATTTGCACCACCTTGTACATGCATATTTACTTGACAGACATTTCGATATTATTTTGCTTTAATTAAGACATTAGGGTCTAATCGTTCCATTTATAGAATTTTCTGATAAGAGGATTACTTTTGCGCCACCTTGTAGAAGCATTGCATTAAGGAGATACCATCAATGGCAGTGGTACCCTTAAACTGCTACGACTTATCTCTAGAAAAATATGATAAATACGGAAAAATTAATTAGAAATGAACTTAAATCTTATACAAATAAAAACATGTAAAAAAGCAGCTAAGTTAGAGCTGCCGAACTTTTAATATATCTCAACAATTTTGAAGGAATTTAAAAAAAATTCAAAAAAATGTCGAAAAAATACCGTTTAAATGAAAACCGTTATAGGTTGTAGTACCAATAAGAACTTTAAACACAACATTTGAAAAAATTCCGGTGCAAAATATTGCTAAAATCATAAAAATACCGAGTATTGGGAGGTACCGCTATATGGGGGCTATACGAAAACGTGGGTCAACATGGTCTATTTAGGAACGTGCCTACTAGCAAAACACATAAGAAATTATATCCTTTGCAAATTTGCAATGAAGGTCTCTAATGGTGTGCAGGATAGATGCAGTTTTGTTTGAAATTCGAACTGAAAGTTTTTAAAAACACTATATATACCATTTGGTGTTATGTAAACGAATGGAGATAAAATGAGGACATTTAGTATTTGGAAGTAAGGTTGCTATAAGGAGATGGTTTCTGAAATGTTTTCTAAATGTACGAACTGTACTAAATGGTATTAAATTTTGTACAATTTGGATTCAATGGAAATGTGAAATATTTAGATTGGGCCTACTGTTGGGTGTAGGGTTGAGTTTTAAAGGCGTTTTTGGAAAAGTACTAAATCGTACTAAATTTTGGCATATGAGAAAGACATACATTAGATATATTTTTTGAATACGTACCAAAATTTGATAAGTTGGCATAAAGCTTGAAATCTGAATTTTAGAATGCGGGTCTTTTATACATATCGTGTAGGACTGATGAACCAAAGATTTTGAGGAGGTGGTTTCGGAAATATGTATCAAGTTAAATATCTGTAATAAGTTGGTACACATTTGGTACAACTTTGTTTAGGGTGAATAGAAAAAGTGGTAATGTAAAAATGATTTGTAAAAAGAGAGAAACAAATGATCGAAAATTACTAAATGATACTAAATCTAGCCTATAGCATGGCAAAAGAAGTGGTGTTATGAATTTTGGTATTAAGAGAACTGTGAATGCAATACATTTAGAATTATGAATTTCCCACTGTAACTTGTATGAAATGTTGTATAGGAACTAAATTTAATATAGGATATAGAAAATGAACTTAGCTTGTGAACAATGGTTAAGATGTCAGTAGTGGAGTATTTAGATAAGGAGGAGAATTTAAAGAAACGTAAACGAAATGTACTAAATTATATTAAATTTGATATATGTGTAAGAATAAAGCTAAATTTATAAACTTTGGTAACGTGGAACATTTTCTGGAAATGCGTGATATACAGGGTGAGATGAAAAAAGTGCAACCAACTTCCTGTCATTTCTAATCCACTCGTCCGACAGCTGTTAAAATTATTCCAGTGACAGCTCATTATATTGTTTACAAGCGTACAAAAGCATTTTGGTGAGAATTTTCCAGAAAAAAAGTTATTCGTGATTGAATTCAAACTCGATTTCTTTATATTTGGCTGGAAAACCACATGTGGTTATCGTTAGAACACTCCAGCATTTAAATGTGAATAGATCTTTTGTGTCTCGTTCCATCGCTCGTTACCGTGATAGTGGTAGCGTAGCCCGACGTCAAGGAAGTGGACGGAAGAAAACAGTATTATCTGCCGAAGCGACTTGATCGAAACCCGCGTTTTAGTGGCCGAATGAGTCGTGAGCAGAACATATCGCAATATTCCATTTGGCAAATATTGAAAAATGAGCTCGGGGTAAAACCATTGAAATTCCAAAAAGTGGAAGAACTTACACCAACACAGAAAGAAAATAGACTCAAAAGAGCTAAAAAGTTGCTTCGCTTGGCCGAAAGTGGTGAACTGCCGAATTTGGTTTTCTTTGTCCAGCAGTTTGTAAAGAAACAAAATGATCGTGTTTACTTGCCAAAGAGGTCAGCTGAAAATTTGCACCTTCAACTCAGCACCATCGCAGTCAGCACGCGCCACCCAAGAATGGTTACAAAATGAGGTTTCTGGTTTCATTTCCAGCGCACAATGGCCACCAAAATCTCCGGATACCAATCCGTTGGACTATTGTGTCAGGAGTATTTTGGAATGCAAGGTTGGCACTAACAAATACCAAAGGGTCGATCACCTCAAGCAAGCACTTCGCCGTGAATGAACCAAAATACCGCAGAGCAACATTCGGGCAGCGTGTGACGGTTTCATTGGCCGTTTGATGGTCATAATTCGTGCCAAAGGTGACCAATTGGAACAAATCTAAACTTATTCTAAAATTTGATGCTATATTCGACTTTTTATGCTTTCATTCAATTAAATTAAAAAAAGTAAAAAATATGGCGTTTGAATTTGTTACAGTTTTTTTTTATCTCACATTGTATATGTTTCATGCGATTTGACCTTTAAGACAGTGAAAGCCGTTATATGTACATTGTACCAATCATATTGGTATGTATATCAGATATAGCTTAAAAATGCCTCTCCGAAAAATTGCAGAAATTGCATCAGATTTATATATATCTCATAATTCCCTATAATTTTATAATCATTGGTAGGCTTGCTTCACACAAATTCCCACAGCCTGTCACATAAAATTATTTATGCAGGTCCAGGTCTTCGTGTAGCCCTGGTAACTCCCTATATTGTATTTTGATGATTTTAGCTACATTATTCACCGGACTTTTTTGTATTGGAATATTTCGTATTTCAATATTTTAATGGATTATAACAAATGTTGCCTATGCGGCTCCACGTCTTCGTATAGAACTCAATATACAGTTATATTCGGTATTTTTAAGATTTTAACAGAATTATTAGCGGTTTTTTTAAGTATCCAAATTCGTTCCAAATGGTGGAGGGTATTCGGCTGGGCCGAACTTAGTGCTTTTTTACTTGTTTCTTGTGAAAATTACCATGCGCCCTCGGTTAGCGCTACACATTTGTTATTACATATTTAACATTATTTTAATGTCGTATTTAATTTAGAATTAAAAAAATGTCGTTTCCGATATTAATATTAAAAATTTGGATTAAATTTAGATCGGGTGCAAAAATTAAATACATTGTTCCAGTTCTGCTGCTATTGAATGATGAAATTTCGTCCCAAAATTAACTTAATATTTTTTACTTGTTACACCAACCATGTACCCTCCGTTGGGCGCCATTAATTTTTTTATTTTTATATAATTATTTGTATGTCGTATTTATTTGATAAGTCGAAAAGAATATCGGGTTTGAAACAAACTTCGAATACTTAAAATTTGGATAATATTTAGATCGGGTGTTAAATTTTAATACTTTGGTTCAGTTCTGCTGCTATAGAATATTGAAATTTCGTCACAAAATTAAATTAATTAATACACTAACCATACGCCCGCCGTTGGGCGCCACACATTTGTTATTAAATGTATATAATTTTTTGTATGCCGTATTAATTTGAGAAGTCAAATTTTGATCAGGTGTCAAAATTCAATACATTGGCCCAATTCTGCTGCTATCTTCCTCAAAAATTGCCAAATTTTGAGGAATGTAAAGAATATTGCAAGATTCTCTCTCTCTAGGCGCATAGCTTTTGGAACATTTCCATAAATGGTGGATTTTTGACGGATGTCGAAAAATCTGTCCAAATTTTCAAACATCGATTCTTCCCTCAGAAATGCCAAAATTCGTTAGAAATCTATTGAAAACAGGATTTTTTAGTATCAAGGCTTGTTAGTGTATCAAGGCTTGAATTTGAATTTCAATGCTTGCGAAACATAGTCTAAGGATATATTCATTTCGCTAAGCTAACTGATACTTTTTAAAGTTCTTCTGTTGAAAATATCCTTGCAATAAAATGTGAACAATTTTTTGTTTTAAAATGGGGGTATAACCCCCATGTAACGATCTATCCGTTATGTATTTTGTTTAACATAATACCCGGCAATTGTATACCGAAATTATTATGCATTTATTAGAATATGTCAAATTAAAGCTACATAACTAACCACTGGTTTTTCTCTTATTATTTTTTTCTTCTCTTTTTCCATGCATGAATTTCCCCATACACGCCATACTTTCGACGGTGATGTGCTGGACGGCGACACATACAACAGTCACAAGACTTGGTTCAGCATGGCATGTTGCCCATACGACAATTATAGCGCCATACAAAGCATTTTCGCGTGAGAAAGTGCCGGCGCGCATTGGAACCCACATTGGTCTGATGCATGTCAATGTGACGTTGACAGGTAAGTTTGATACCATGAAAGAAAAAAAAAAAAAAAAAACAAAAAAAAGACAACCTATAACACCTACCAGCTGGACTGGAGAGATGGAAGTCTGAAAAAAATTAAATCAGGCTAAAGAAACCTCAGTGCAGAGGCTTCCAATGACTACAACTCTGATGTCCAGTTTCAATTTTCTATTTTTGTTGTTGTTGTCGTTGCTTTGGTTTGATGCCTGCCTTAAAGGTATCGGTTTGCTTGGTTATTTTGGTCACGGTGTTCGTTTTAATGATACTTGTGTTGGACAGTTTTTGGTATAATCAAACATACAACTAGTGACCGAACCAACCGACAGCTTAAAATAATTTCAGACTATTTTAAATTTCATGTGGCATTTTGGGGCGAAGAAGTCAAATTATTTTAAATTGATTTTAAGCCAACTTAATAATGGCTAAACATGATTTGTTGCTACTACTACTGAATGGTTGGCTGCATGTCTGCCTTCAGCAGAAGAAAAACATTCATGTTTATTGAAAATTTAAGATTCATGAGAGGAGGTGTTTGCCAAAATCGCACTTGGCATGTAATTTATTTTTTTGGAGTTTTTATTATTTTCTTATTTAATTTTTTGAAGATTTAAAGCAATTTTTTTGGATTCAATTGTTTAAAGCAAAAAATAGTCAAATTTGGATCATGAAATTTATGTTTTGGAATATTGTTCTTTTTTTTTCTTTATTTTTTAAGGATTTGAAGTAATATTTGGATTCAATTGCTAGAACCAAGGTATTTAATTTTTATACCCTCAGCCATATGTCTATATGCCCTCTATATCATTTGATACGGTCAAAACGTGCTTCATCGAAATAACGGTGTTCAGGTCTCTTTGGATCAAATCCATTTCATGACTTTTGGGGTCGATCTAGCGATGTTCGTCCGTCTGTCTGTCTGGCTGGCAGGTGCGCACGATAACACTCCAATGAAATCACCGTAATTTTATTATAAAACTTAGATCGAGTTCGGAGATGAACAATATCGGTCCACATCTTCTGGTACCTCCCCCAGAAAATGTCGAACTTTTCAAACAAAACATATTTACTGCACAGAAAGAGAAAAAGGATTATCCGATTTTGCTCCAACTTTGCAAATCCTAATATTTGCATCAGTGCTAGTTCAGGTGAGAAAATTGACAACATCGGTCCACTCCATCAAATATCTCCCCCACAAAGTGTCAAAATTTTGAATAATTATAACTCTTATAAAACGTGATGTAAGAGTCCGATTGTCTCCAATTCAAATATTTTTATTAACCCAAGGTCTAGTGTGAAGATGGAATAAATCGGCCCACTCCTTCTGATACCTTCCCCACAAAGCGTCAAAATGTTGATTAACCAAAACGATCATAAAATCCGAAATATGCATCCGGTTCTCTTCAAATTACACATATCACAATACTTTTACTAACCCAAGGTTTGGTGTGAAGATGGGATATATATGTCCCTTCCTTCGGGTACCTCCTCCACAAAGTCTCAATATTTTGAATGTCCATGAAGCGCATAAAACGTGGAATTAAAATCCATTTCTATTCAGACTTTTTACATCTGAATATTTCCATCAGCACAAGATCTGTTATAAAGATGGTAGAGATCTGAACATTTCTTCTGGTACCTCCCTCCACATAAGGTTCAAAACGCATAAAGAAATTGAAATAAGCTCCAACTCTCACTTTAAATTTCACACATACAAATATTTTTGCTTATACAGATCTGTTCTGAAGATGATATATATCTGCGAACCCCTTCTGGTGCCTCACCTACAAAAGGTCACAATTTTTAGGAAAGCGAGGCTTATTTACTTCTATAGAGATAAAATCCTCAGTAAATCCTCTTTCTCAGAGATCGGAGGCTGTGTTTTTCCAAAGCAAAAAAAAAAAATCCTCTGAGTTCTGAGGCTGATTGTTTTCTATAGAGAAAAATCCTTAGAGAACTAAGGCTGATTTTTTTCTACGGAGAAAAAATCCTCTGAGAACTGAGGCCGATTTTTTTCTATAGAGAAAAAAATCCTCAGAGAACTGAGGCTGATTTTTTTCTATAGAGAAAAAATCCTTAGAGAACTGAGGCTGATTTTTTTCTATAGAGAAAAAATCGTCAGAGAACTGAGGCTGATTTTTTTCTATAGAGAAAAAATCCTCAGAGAACTGAGGCTGATTTGTTTCTATAGAGAAAAAAATCCTCAGAGAACTGAGGCTGATTTTTTTCTATAGAGAAAAAAATCCTCAGAGAACTGAGGCTGATTTTTTTTCTATAGAGAAAAAATCCTCAGAGAACTGAGGTTGATTTTTTTCTATAGAGAAAAAATCCTCAGAGAACTGAGGCTGATTTTTTTTCTATAGAGAAAAAATCCTCAGAGAACTGAGGCTGATTTTTTTTCTATAGAGAAAAAATCCTCAGAGAACTGAGGCTGATTTTTTTTCTATAGAGAAAAAATCCTCAGAGAACTGAGGCTGATTTTTTTTCTATAGAGAAAAAAATCCTCAGAGAACTGAGGCTGATTTTTTTTCTATAGAGAAAAAATCCTCAGAGAACTGAGGTTGATTTTTTTCTATAGAGAAAAAATCCTCAGAGAACTGAGGTTGATTTTTTTTCTATAGAGAAAAAATCCTCAGAGAACTGAGGCTGATTTTTTTTCTATAGAGAAAAAATCCTCAGAGAACTGAGGCTGATTTTTTTTCTATAGAGAAAAAATCCTCAGAGAACTGAGGCTGATTTTTTTTCTATAGAGAAAAAATCCTCAGAGAACTGAGGCTGATTTTTTTTCTATAGAGAAAAAAATCCTCAGAGAACTGAGGCTGATTTTTTTTCTATAGAGAAAAAAATCCTCAGAGAACTGAGGCTGATTTTTTTTCTATAGAGAAAAAAATCCTCAGAGAACTGAGGCTGATTTTTTTTCTATAGAGAAAAAATCCTCAGAGAACTGAGGCTGATTTTTTTTCTATAGAGAAAAAATCCTCAGAGAACTGAGGCTGATTTTTTTTCTATAGAGAAAAAATCCTCAGAGAACTGAGGCTGATTTTTTTTCTATAGAGAAAAAATCCTCAGAGAACTGAGGCTGATTTTTTTTCTATAGAGAAAAAATCCTCAGAGAACTGAGGCTGATTTTTTTTCTATAGAGAAAAAATCCTCAGAAACTGAGGCTGATTTTTTTTCTATAGAGAAAAAATCCTCAGAGAACTGAGGCTGATTTTTTTTCTATAGAGAAAAAATCCTCAGAGAACTGAGGCTGATTTTTTTTCTATAGAGAAAAAATCCTCAGAGAACTGAGGCTGATTTTTTTTCTATAGAGAAAAAATCCTCAGAGAACTGAGGCTGATTTTTTTTCTATAGAGAAAAAAATCCTCAGAGAACTGAGGCTGATTTTTTTTCTATAGAGAAAAAATCCTCAGAGAACTGAGGTTGATTTTTTTCTATAGAGAAAAAATCCTCAGAGAACTGAGGTTGATTTTTTTTCTATAGAGAAAAAATCCTCAGAGAACTGAGGCTGATTTTTTTTCTATAGAGAAAAAATCCTCAGAGAACTGAGGCTGATTTTTTTTCTATAGAGAAAAAATCCTCAGAGAACTGAGGCTGATTTTTTTCTATAGAGAAAAAATCCTCAGAGAACTGAGGCTGATTTTTTTTCTATAGAGAAAAAAATCCTCAGAGAACTGAGGCTGATTTTTTTTCTATAGAGAAAAAAATCCTCAGAGAACTGAGGCTGATTTTTTTTCTATAGAGAAAAAAATCCTCAGAGAACTGAGTCTGATTTTTTTTCTATAGAGAAAAAATCCTCAGAGAACTGAGGCTGATTTTTTTTCTATAGAGAAAAAATCCTCAGAGAACTGAGGCTGATTTTTTTTCTATAGAGAAAAAATCCTCAGAGAACTGAGGCTGATTTTTTTTCTATAGAGAAAAAATCCTCAGAGAACTGAGGCTGATTTTTTTTCTATAGAGAAAAAATCCTCAGAGAACTGAGGCTGATTTTTTTCTATAGAGAAAAAATCCTCAGAAAACTGAGGCTGATTTTTTTTCTATAGAGAAAAAATCCTCAGAGAACTGAGGCTGATTTTTTTTCTATAGAGAAAAAATCCTCAGAGAACTGAGGCTGATTTTTTTTCTATAGAGAAAAAATCCTCAGAGAACTGAGGCTGATGAGGCTATAGAGAAAAAATTCTCAGAGAACTGAGGCTGATTTTTTTCTATAGAGAAAAAAAAATTGATTTTTTTCTATAGAGAAAAAATTCTCAGAGATCTGGGGCTGATTTTTTCTACAGAGAAAAAAATTATCAGAGAACTGAGGCTGAATTTTTTTATAGAGAAAAAAATCTCAGTGAACTGAGGCTGATTTTTTTCTACAGAAAGATCTGTTGTGAAGATCATACATATCTGCGAAACCCTTCTGGCACCTAAAAGATCATAATTTTCAATACTTTTATCTGTCATAACTTGCGGAACAAGTCAGCGGTTCCTTACAACTTCCTATATCTAAATATTTCTCTCCACCAGAAACCTGAGATGAATATGAAATATATGATTTCGCATAAAATTGAATGTAAATGTTCGGTTTTTTTTTCGTAATTTTGCGCATACCTATATTTTACCTGTATTGGATGAAGTATGACAATGGAATACTTCGGTCACATATCTCATATAAAGTGAACGAATTAAGCAATATAGCCCAAAGCTGCATGGCGCAATATTTATATCATATTTACTTGGGTCCGATACGAAGTAGACAATATTGGTCCATTCCTTCGGAACCCACACCATAAAGGGTCAACAATTTGAATATTCGTCACAGAAGTCAGAAGTCAAAATATATTTCAATAATCGAACATTGGCTGAGGATATACATCTGTCGGCACAACCGACTGATACTTTTTAACTTGATTTGATGATTATTAAAAAAATATATAGAAAATCTTCAAAACTCCATAATACTATTAAAGTAGTTTAATTTACAATTTTCAAAATTTTGCAATTTTTTTTGCT